TGATGTTGTCCTTGTTTTTGTTGTTGTTGATGTTGTTGTTGTTAATGATGATGTTGTTGTTGTTTTTGTTGTTGTTGTTGTTGATGTTGTTGTTGATGATGATGATATTGTTGTTGATGATAATGATGTTGTTGTGGTCTCTTGATTGAATTGGATACCTTTTAAAAATCCGGTTCCTTTCAATCCGTCTCGATCTTATTAATGTTATTATTAAATCAAAGTTGTTATTACAACTTTGCGCTTTGTTTTGAATGCACTGTTTTCCATAGGTGTCTGTAATGGAACCAACACTACTTGCGCCGGATGCGACGGTATTCCAAACAGCGGATTAATTAATGACGCATGCGAAGTGTGTGGCGGAAACGGGTCAACATGCACCGAAATCATGGCAACTATACCACAAACCATTGCCAACAGTCAGCCAACTGTGTGGGTGAATGGAGCTGGACTGAACGATGGAAGCAAGACCGTGTGTGGGTTATATGACCCAGAGAGTGGAGACCTAGTGGTCAATACAACAGGTAAATGTATGTTATGACTTGATATGGTGCAAGAGACTGGATATCTGCTCCAGATAATGATAATTTTTTATTACTCCAAAAACAAGAGCTTGGCCCGTGATTTTATGAGACACGGTCAACGAGCAGCCATGCATGGCAAAGAGGATGTCGAGCCCAATTAAAAAGCTTATGGCCAGTGCACAATTTATCCTAGAAGTTTCCATGGTCGTGCTCTGTAAAACAAGAAGGTGAAACAACCAAACATTCGCTCGTTGTTGATAACGAGAACCGCGGTGGTGTTTTTTTCGTGTTTTTGCTTAGTATTTAACCCTGTCTTCTTTCATGTTCAGCTGTAGAATAGTTCTCGAAACAATAGGCATATTGACCAGACCGGCAGCGGGGGTGACTTTAACCTGTGATCATACCCTCCCTCCCTCTCTACCTCTTAATGCCTCATCGAAGGTTTGGATTCCTCTTATATGCAATCCACATGAACATGTGCCACTGTTAAAGTGACCAGGTTTTCGAACTGTGTCGCCTACGACAGAGCAAGAAATCAAAAGCGTTGTAATCAAAAATAGAGTGTAATTTATCGGAAAACTGGATAAAAATTAAGCGTTGAAAGTGAAAGAATCTTGCAAAATAAATGGAAATACCAATGGTTAATTAAGACAACTTTAGAAGCAACTGACAGCAATAGTGATAGAATTCTGGGATAGCAGAGGGATATTGACTTTGGCTAGAAGGGCCACAGAATATGACCAGATATGAGCGAAGCAATCCTAATTTAAGAAAGTTCCTTTTCACCGGTCTAGGCTAATAAGCTCATTGAAATTACTGATTTTTTGTCGTTTTTTGCTACTTTTAGCCTCTGAAAGGAATCTCACGCACGCTCGTTGTGAATTCCAACCGTGGGACAACTATACCGCGGGCGTGTACAACTTATCAGTGACGATTGTCCACGACGACAAGGCGGATGTGAGAACCAACAATTCACTTCCGGTTTATTATTATTCAAGTCAGGACCTCTCTCTGACAAGTGTTATACCTGACGAAGTTCTTAAGGGAGACCTTCCACAATACGTGACTTTAAATGGCAGCGGCTTCTTTGACTGGGAAGAAACAGTGTGTTATTTTGGTTCCCAAAAAACCAGGGATGTAATTTATATCAATGAAACTCATCTTCAATGCAAAGTAAGTCGCTTTGTTTCGTTTCCATAGTAACGTGAATTATTACCTTTTCGCAGAGTACAACGCCACTAATCCGATTTTTAATGGGCTAAAAAGCACAAAAGTCTTGGTCAAATGTAGATGGGACACACTTAAAAATGATATATTATGATCATTAGACACCCCTTTTTATTCCACTCAAGGTTAGCTTTAGGCAAATCTCCCAAGTTTGCCAGTTGTTAATTAAGCGTTTTCAGCATCAAACAGGGGTTGTGAGAACGAGAACGAGAGCGCTTTGACGTGTAAACCAGGTTTTCGTTCTTTAAGATGACAGCTTCGATTTGACACAGCTCATTAAGGTTTTTTAACCGGGTTTCGGAGCCCGTTTGAAGCGGTTTTCAATGTTAAATGTCATGAAACCAAAACCAAAGTAATTACTATGGCCAATCACAACTTTAGGATATCGGTAATCCAGTGAACCAATCAAAGCTCGAAGTGAAAAAAATGTGGCTGACGCGAAGAACGGGAAAACGTGCGAGTCACGATGCTTTTTGTTTTCAATTTAACTTTTCATTGGATGGCTACGTGGTGGGAGATCTTTTAGCCAATCGCCACTACATATATTATTGAGATTATGAGCCGTCAGATTAAAAACAATAGTTTAATCCCCCACTTTATTATAACATATTCTAACTCTCCCCTCCCTCTGGAATCCTTAGGTAGCCGCAGTTAGCTCCTCTACCCGTTTTTCTGTGTCCTTCTCGATGGACGGAGGTCTGGTACAAGTTGGCGACACCAACCTGACGGTGTTTGCGAGTGCACCTAATGTTGACGGGGTGAAGTTCAGTGACACAGCCGGGGAACTTCTGGTTGACTTTGATACAGATGTTGAACTGGTTACCAATGCGGATGAATCGTGCCAACTTTTCTTCACCAGTGCGACCGTTGTCATGTTGGGGGTTGAACCGCACTGCCTCCTCGTAGGCACTCGAGAATTAGTGATAGAGCTAGGATTTGGTGCTAACATTACAACCGGTGACTATTTGGTGTTCAATGATAACGTTTTGAAGGCCCACAGTGAACAGCACAGCAGGTACCTCAATGGTTCATTCCCAGTCAATGCGCCAGATACTCCCTTGAAACCCACGCCGGTAATCACAGGTATGCAGCGGTAATATATCAAATTTAAATACACCAGTAAAGCTCAAAATGTCAATGCAAATATAATGCCACCGTTGATGGGCCAATGTCGATATATTTAAATTCTAACTCGGTTACGAAGCACCACCAGGGAACAAGAAAAGCAATCTAATTTTTCATTCCGCAGCTTCGAGGCGATTTCTTTTGTGTTATTTGCCCACGAATCGGAGCCAAGCTAGAATTCTAACACATCGAAATTGGCCTGTTCTTGGACGGTAGCAGTGAGCTGTGATGCTGTTGTGTTTTATAAATCATAAATGCTACAGCAACATCTGCAACTGAGCACGGGTAGTCATATCAGTAGACAGTCTGAATGACTCCATTCCAAAACCTTCAAAGCTATGTATCAAGGATAACTCTCCCATTTAAGCCGGAATCATTTACGCGTTTGCGTTCAATTGAATTGAAAACAAAGGGACATCCCTTTGACTCCAATTGAAAGGGCAATATTGTAATTTAGGTTACAGTGAGTGTAAAACTGAGATTGGTTTTTGCAGCTATGCAGCAAAACAGAATCACGACTGATTAATTCACTGCTTTCTGATCGCATGTAATTGCTTTCTTTATGGCATTCTCATGTTGACACACACACACATACACACACACACAATGTCCCCCTTATATAAGGGTGTGAATTAGGTGAAGAAGGCGTTCAAATTAAAGCTGATCAACTTGCTTACAATAAATCTCAAAGAAAAGATTGTGAACAATTTGCATTTCACAAAATATCGATAGAATGAAACATCTCGGGAGGCTCTATATCTGTTGTCATATTTTCTTCTCATTAGCTAGCGACAACCTTGACTTTGCTTTCCTTGAAGGTCCTGACACGCTCTCCAGTTGTGGAAATCTCACCTTATCTGGTGTCCAGTCCTTTGGAGGTGGCGGCCGTCCACTCATCTTTGAATGGAAATTGATATCACCTGACAGTGGACAAGACTTCACAGAAATAACAGGCGTCCTCAACGGGCTTGCTTCAAATGCTGATCGTGTTGACCTGCCTGGCACTCTTTTTCAATCTGACAAAGTCTACGTGTTTAAGCTTAAAGTGGTCAACTTTCTGAATCAATCAAGCTTTGAAGAAATTACCCATTCGATCATAAAATCTACCGATCCAGTCCCGGCGTTAACGCTGAGCTCAAGCATCGATCTGAATGAAGGAGAAGTTTTTGTCTCAGAGGGCCTGTCAATCAAAGCAAGTGCAATTGTAAGTACGACAGCAGTAGCTCAATATGGTGGCCATAAATTCATTTTGCTAACAATTGATGTCTTCCTAGTTTAATATTCTACATTTTCCCGTATGCTCCTTCTTTCCTGTTCATCGTCCTCATCATCGAAGCTTGGATGTGTTCTATCCCTGTTATTCAATTCTTAACGGCAATGGTGATTAAACAAACAGTTATTATTATTATTATTATTATTATTATTATTATTATTATTATTATTGTTGTTGTTGTTGTTGTTGTTATTGTTATTGTTTTTTTGTTTTGTTTTGTTTTGTTTTTTTACGTGGATTACCTGGATTAGAACACTGCTTTCCTTTGACATTTTAAGGTCGGTACACACATGTGTGAGGGGCTCCTGGACACCTTTCTACCAAATTCCACAAGGGGATTTCATTGATGACTGCCGCTTAAATGCTAGCCACGCGTGTGTGGGCTAATGTTAGAAAGTGAATAATGGCGTGAACTTCTGAATTGGTGTTTTAGGATCTTTTCACATTTTCATCAAAACTTTAGTATATGAATAGTGTTTTTTCTCCTATTATCATTATTATTACCATATTATGATAATAATGAAAGTCTGCCGTTTACGCTAACCGGGCATGTGTCCTCTAATTTTAGAAAGTCGATGATGGCATGAGCTTGTGAATTAGTATTTTAGGATGTCATGATATTTTTATTTTCATAAAAATTTTAGTCTACGATAGTGGAGTGTGTAAAGATTTGCAAATAGGTTTTCTGAGGAGATTTTGATAAAGTTCTTATTATTATTATTATTATTATTATTATTATTATTATTATCATTATTATTATTATCATTATTAATATTATATATTATTATTACTTTTTCCCTTATTATGGTTTTATTATTATTATTATTATCATCATTATTATTATTACCTTCTCCTCTTTTACCTTTCCTTCATCTTCATCTTCTTCTCTACCTTTTTGTCTCCACCTTTTTCTCTTATCGCATGTTTGTGAGATTTTGCACATCTTTTTTTTTTTTTCATGAGCTCATGCCAGAGTTTATTGTTAAAACGTTTGTATTTGTTGGATACGAGACCCACTCTATCCTCCTTGCTACTCCACTGTGCCTTTAAAATTTACCTTTCTTTTCCACAGGTCGCTCCTTGTGTGAACAATACTAGGGTTGACTTTTCATGGACTGTTACATGCACTGTTTCAAGCGCTCAACAGAAAGTGCAATCCAGTGCTTTATTCCAGGCCACCAGATACCAGGCCACCGTCAGAATAGCCCAAGGTGTGCTGACTGGTGATGTCACCTGCACATTTAACGCGACAGGAAGTATGAACTTCAATCCTAATGTCAAGAGCACGGTCAGCCAAGACATCAAAGCTCTGCCTAGTCCTCTTGAGCCTGCCATATTTGGAGGTAAGGTTGTAGATGTAGGTTATTGGAGTTTGTAGATGAAATTGCTCTAGTTGATGGGAGAGAAACCATCCACCATTTGCACAGTGGGCTACATCCGTGAAAGTTCGCTAGTTGTTTGCGTCCTGATCAAAACCACATTTTGACGACACTTTAGTGGTTTTAGCTGAAATATCCGCTGTAATTTATATTTTTTCATAAGGTTTTTCTTACTTTCTATCAATTCAAGGATGGATGTCAAAGGGGACCTCTCATACAGTTTTTCGGACTGTTGTGTTTTTTGTCAATGTGACAATGAAAGTTAGAGATCAGCTTAGAATAATCAAGGTTTCCACAGTATTTAAATCCATGATTAACCTGCAAACTGAGATATGAAACCAAATTCATTGTCAGCGGGCCACCACTTAAGGCATACGAATGAAATAAGAATGAAATCGTGTATGAACTGAAGATGACACATGACTATTCGGTTGCACTCTTGAATTTCAATTTCGTTTCATTCCAAATGACTATTGAGTACTCTCAACTGTTGTTGCCAACATGGTTTTCGTACAGCTGAACTCCGATCTCAGCCCTTCGTTTCGGAGAATAGCACAATGATGAAGTTTTCCCAAACGACTGTTTTCTGAACTTTTCAGGTGATCGACAGATAGGCCGCGGTAGTGGTGCTATCACATTGGACGCCGTGAGTCTTACAAGGGATCCCGACCAAACCACTGATCCTTATGTATGCCAGTGGCGCTGTGAAGTCGAGAGCGGTGGTACTGGATTCTGTTATTCTGTTGAGGAAAAAGGGAAGTTGATATTTGACTCGATCTCTGGGTGTGATACGACAGTACAGAGTAGTCAGTTCGAAGCCGGGAAATCCTACAAAATCATGTACGTATGGAAAAAAAGAACGAAATGATCAATTAGTAACACTTCTTTTAACATTTGACCTTTAATCTTCAATCTTCTTCTGACGTACAAATATTTGAATTCCACCACCCAGACTACATTTGGGAATTGTGAAAAAAGGTTTTACTCCGTGGTCCTGAGCCTTTCAAAAGCTGTTCTCCCGTCTCTTGCCGACATTTTGACGTGTCAACTGTCTCTCCACGACGTTTTTACCTCCAAGAAATCTCGAGCTCATAACATTAATTGCTGATAATAATAATAATCCGCTGGCCAACGTTCAGGTAAATGCGCAATCTGATCGGCTAAACCAAAGTGGTCTAATGATTGACAGACTGCCCAGTAAGCTGTTTAATCTTTTCAAATATGGCATAACCTTAGCGTTTTCATCAAGTGTCAAATTAAAAATATATATATTTTTCACTGCTGATTGATAGGTCAGTGGGTTATGCCAAAACCTTTAAACCTTTCGCCACGGGGGAGCACGTTTGTGCTTGTGACGTTGCTGTTTGGCTCAAATCTGACCGATTTTGATGAAATTTTCACAGCAAAGTGATCTTGTAAAGATCTACTCAAAGCATAAAATTGTGACCCCCC